TCAAGGGGATTTTTTTAGTTATGGGAATAAAGTGCTGATTTACATCTGACTGTAAATTAAACTGAGATGAGTGATGCTGTAACCATTCTGCCTGACTCTCTTGGATGCTGCTTACCCTTGAGGGAAAATGCTAAGCAGAACCTCTGGCAGCTCCTGGCTCAGAACAGCCACAGCCCAGCGCTTTAAAGGCAATTAGCACTTATTGCAATATAAGAGTTTACTAAGAAGAAATGCAAAAGAACCAAGAAAAAGTGAGTAACAGAGCAATACAAGAGCTCCTGTGTGGGGAGACTGTGCTGACTGGGACCCTCAGCCTGGGCAGCGAGGGGTGGAATGAGGAGAGGATTACCAAAGCCTGCAAAGGGAAGTGGGGCAAAGAGTGTGGGGACAGGGGCCTAGAGAGAATCAAGGATCCTAAAAGCCACTTTGAGAGCAAATCAGGGAAGCTTATTCCTCACACAGCAGCCCTAGCCCTGCTGAATGATGTGCCAAGGGTTTTTACAAAAACATGCAGATGTTTCACCGGGGCTCAAGGGGAGAACGAACCAGGACGCGAAGCACCAGTGAGAACCACCAAACAGACTACAGCTAGCTCGTCAAAATTCCTGGAACTGAAAATATTAAAGGCAGGGAGAATGGAAGATTTATTTGCCCTTATCACAGAATCACAGGATTGTAGGGGTTGGAAGGGACCTCCAGAGATGGAGTCCAACCCCCTGCCAAAGCAGTTCCCTGCACCAGCTCACACACGTAGGTGTCCGGGCAGGTCTTGAACATCTTCAGAGAAGGAGACTCCACCACCTCCCTGGCAGCCTGTTCCAGTGAATATTAAATTATATTTATTATTATATTATATATATATAATATTTTTATTATATTTATTATTATATGTTATATTACTGTTCTGTAGGTATCTGCCTGCAGTGAGGTTAGGAAAATGAACTCTGGACTCACAGGAGCTCGGTCTGATGCAGCGTGGTCTCTGTTACATCAGACCATCAAGCGTGGCTTTTAAGAAGCTGATGAGTGTCCTACTTACCTGCCCTTACTTTAGGTCCTGTGGCATCCAGGACAGTAATATGGAAGGCAGTTTGTGATCATAAGAGATTTGGGCACGCAGTTCAGCCCAGCACTCAGGTCACATCCAGCTGCACCATGACTGAGTCACTACGAAACTGCCCTGCAAGAGTTGGTACGTGCAGCCCTGCCACTGCCTGCACATCTCCAGCACAGGGAATTGGAGCAGTGATCTTGTATCCCAATTACCAGCTTCGTGCTCTGCAATTACAGAGAACCAGGAAAGAAAAACAAGGCTGATCTCTAGCAGGAAGTTGGTGAGGATCAGGCAGCACAGCGTGCCTCTGGGCAGGATTCAAAGAAGTGAGAAGCAGCACATTACAGCAACCCAGCTCATCACCATACAGGCCTGTTGCTGCAAAGATAGCTACAATTGCATCCCCAAGACTAAGCTTACAAGAAATACACAGGCACTAAAATGTGATCAGAGTCCTATCCTTCTGCCTGTGGAAACCTCACTTAGAACCTGCTAAGAGCTAAGTGCAAGACAAATCTCTAACATGCAGACCAAGATTTTGCTAGTTTACTCTTTCCACCGTGGGTTGTTCTTTTCTAATTTTGTGTTGCTATTTCCCTTCTGATAATTGTGGCCCCGTGCAGAAAAGTCTGGGCAAGTGTTTCAAAAACACTCCTCAAAGAAGGATGTGGTGTTGGTTGTGGATATTTAGAGCCACTGCTCTGAATGATCACGAACACTCATGGATGTGAGAGCCTCTGTCAACAAGAAGAGAGACAGATCTGCTTTCATTCTCTGACTGCAATGGCATGGGCCTCTGCCCTCCAGAACAGCAGTGAAAAAGATGAAATGGTACAGTGAGGCAATGACTGCGTTAGCACATCCGGCTCGCTGCTGCAAGTTCACTGAACGTCACTCTGTTCTGGTATTCGACGTGTTTTTCGTTATAGTTTCATTAGGTTATAATTAGAGATTCAGCTGCCCTCTAATGGCACTGATTTTGGCAGATGACAGCCGCACAGCTCTCCTGCACGGTGCAACGTTATACAAAGCTCTGTTGAAAGCTTCTGCAGTGTATGAAGAAAGCAGTGATATTTTAGATATTAATAGTTGTTTCTTTACACATCATCTTGGAAATCCACTGATTGCTATGCAAGCATAAAATTGATTGTTCGGAAGTTATCAGGAAAACTCTTACACTTCAGGTGGGAGTTATCTTGGTGGATTTTGTCAAGCAGAGAGGCAATCTGAGTTAATGCACATTTTCTCCCTGTAGCCAGAGTGACACTGACCTCTCTTCAAGCCACAGGCAGTAGGACAGCAGGGCTGCAAAAGCCTGGGAGCTGCGAGCACAGCTTTGTTTGGCTCTGCACTGGTCTGAATCCGTCCCAGACCACTCACAGTACTGCCGTCCATCTGTACACAAGGGCTGCGCCAACTGAAGACCCTGATAAACTCTCATCATTCAGACAACACGTGCCCATCTTTTGTCTCCTTGGATTCTATTCCTCACTGTGCTAAAGCTCACTTTTATTTCCATAGTTTTGCCTTGCATAATAAGATTATATTACTTTTATGTTTGTAATGTTTTCTTTCATTTCCATTTCTATTTCTTTCCTAAGCTACTTCAACTGTAATTGCTCTTAAAATCTTTCCTACCAGAAAGTTTTTTTCTACAGTATACTTTAAATTGTAATTCTAAGAACTTGATGCAAGGCAATAAATATAGTTTAGAGTATGGGCAAGTTCAGACCCCAGTCTGAATAACACAGCGAGTCCCCAACCCCTGCAAGGGTTACACTTTTTGTTTCAGTCTGTGAGCACACAGCCAGGGGTACCCAACAGCAGAGCCCCAACACTCCTTCCCTGTGCAGGAAGAATCCTCAGCAAGGTATCCTGTAGTGAAGGGTTTCTCTTTGCCCTGGTTTTCAGAGATCCCAGGTAAGGGTAACCGCAACCCAGAATACCTGAAACTACAGATGTCTGACTTATCTATTCCCAAAGAACAGAGCTGGGAAAAAACAGCTTTTACATGCATTTATGAGCACTGCTGTGTTAAGATACCAACAAACAGGCTCAGATCCTGAGGTGGCCAGGACACATTGCTCATTGGTATCCAATATGTCTCTCTGTTCTTCACCCATACTCACATCTTTGCTGCTTGCTCCTCCTGTGGGGATTCACGAAGCACCTGCAGCATTCCCTATGCCACAGACTGGCAAAACCCAGCCTGCCTTGCTTCGCTGGGTGTTAACTAACAGAGACCTTCAGCTGAGCTTTTGACTCAGGGCTGGCTCTCCCTAAGTTCCTTGCAAAACAGCTTTAAGTCCACCTTATGCTATGCCAGAATCTACAAGTGACCCAGGTATAATCCCCAGCCCTCTGCTTCTCCAAGACCATTCATTGCTATCTGCAAACCAAGGCTGAAGTTAGAGATAACTGCAATGATACCAGAGGAGAAGCACTGAGAAGAAGAGACTTGAGGAGGAAGCAGCTCTTTGCAGCGGGTGAGGAGGAGGGCCGTGGCACTGGCATGACCCACTGGGAGGAGGAAGCAGCAGAGCCCGTGTGCTGCCATGGCGTGGGGCAGGCAGCGTTTGGACATTTCTCTGGATGCTCAAAAAGCCATGGGGTTAATCCAAGGTTAATTCAGAAAAGCACAAGCTTATTTCTGGACCTACTCTACTTTCCTGTCCTAACAAGCAATAATTACACACCAATGTTATACATAGCTGTGAATTTTAAGTCAGAGGCTTGGCGGAGGGGTGAGGCCGCGGGGCTGCGCAGGGCTGGGTGCTGTGGGGCAGGGTGTGGAGCAGTGCTGCCTTTATCTCAGCTGTCACCATGAACTTTTCAACTCTCACAGATGATGAACAGTCTCAGCACCATCCCCTCTACCACCTGCTGTTTCAAACAGTTGGGCAGCCTAGTGAAAAAGGAACAGTAGGCAAGCCAAGCATGCAGGCTAAGCCTGCTCCATGCCCACAGGGAGGGTTTAGGCATAGGGTCCTGCTTTGCCCCTGTTTTGGCCACTGCGCTGGTCCTCAGGGTCTTGCTAGAGCTCAGGGAGGGGAGCACAGGCAGCTGAGCCACGTTGCGACTCCCAGCCCGTGCTTCAAGTGGAGAGAAGCTCCAGCTGGACACACAAAGCACGCTTGGCCCTGCTGCACACGTGTGTTCCCCAGTGCCTGGGCTGAGCTGGCAGCCTGGAGCAGCTGTCCCCACAAGCCCCTAGGGTTCACCCGGTGCACAGAGCGGGTCCATGTTCCTGCAAGCACAGGTTGCCAAGCAGACATTCACTGTATTTGCAAAAAACATTAAATAAAATAAGCCATTGGGTTTCTCCATCCCTCCCCTCATGGGCCTCACCACTTCTTCATCCTTCTGTCAGTGTGGTATTTAATGCCTATATTTAAAGCCCCGCAGTCTCCTCAGCAGTGCCCTACAGACTGACTGAGCGTTATGTGGTCGCCCTGCAACGCCGCAGGAGCCCCAGCCATGCACTCCACCACTACAAAGCCCCTGTACAATGCTGCTTTTTATATCTTGCACTAAGCTAAGTGCTGGAGCAGGCACAGCTATTGGCGTCTGGTGTCTGCTCAGCTTTATTTTGAGGTGTTCAAACTTAACAAACCAGCTTTTTTTAGGCCCATATGCGCAGATCAGGCGGTCACCTGTGGCAAGATGTTTATTCTCAGATTTTAGCCAATGTCAGGGAACAGCCTTCTCCAAACATCGCTGGAGCTATTTAAGTAGCTGCTCACAGCTACCCCTCGGTTCACACCAAACACCACAAACTTGTTCATTGAGCAACAGCTCCTGGAGACAAAGGTGAAAGCCATAGGCAGCTCACTCTCAACTTACCCATGGGATTTTATGGTTCTGCTGTAAATGAGTGTTTACTTTTGAAGAGCTGCACACCCAGTATAGTTTACCACTGCATCAATCTTGAAACTAAGAGATTTACCTGGCAGTTTGGCAGCTGCTAACATCCCTTAGTATTCTTTGCTTCCTGACTGCATTGCAGGCTGTGGAAAGGCAGAGAAATACTTGGTTCTTGGACAGATGAGCATCCAGCTGTGGCACAGCAACTCTCAAGACTGGTGAATATGCTCAGGGCCAGTGGCAGCCTCCTAGAAGAGGATGGATGCAAAAGCATTAGTATAGACGAGTGGTGAAGCCCGAAAGTTAGGATGGTATCAACGGAGAGGAGAATTTTCATGTGTCTGATGGCCATGTTCCTTGGCACTTCTCACCTCATGGCTACAGCATCCTTCTTCCTTTTTTCCATGGCCCCCACTTTGCCTTCCTCTCCATTGTTCTGCTCCTCACCTCTCTCCCTCACCCCCGTCACCCAGCCTCTGCCTGTGGCTGCTGTTCTGACTCACCCAGCCCATACTCTTGCAGGCTGCCATCACCTGCCTCAGCCTTGAGCACCACAAGCCTGCAGCTGAGTGTGGGCCAGGCTTTTTGCATTGCTCAGTCACCCTGAGCATCTTGGAGCAGCAGGAGGGGCAGCCCTGTGCTGTGGGTTTGCCATCACTGTTGCTGCTGTATTGAAGAGTGCACAGATACATCACATAGGTAAAGCTCAAAGCAGAAAAGACAAGGGAGGCTTAACTGTGACAGCTTCTTCAGCTTTCTGATGCTGGCTGTACTCCTTGCCTTATCTGCAAGTTACCTGAACGGGGTTTAGCTGAGGAGGCTCTTTGGCTTTTGTACTTCCTTCCCCTGAATAATTTCATCTCGGAGATTCCAACAAGGCCATTGGACTGAATGGATCATGAACATAATTTATCTGCTGGGCTCAGCAGGAACAGCTTTGCATCTGAGGTCCCACACTGGCTTGGGTGACACCATCCTAGGTTTATGCAAGTGTCAGGTGAACAGGACGGCCCCAAGCTCAGCGCCAGTGGGTGCAGAGAGATGATCGGGTTACTTGCAGTATGAGCCTCACTTGGGAGCAGGGCAGTTCTCTCTGCAGCGATGTTATCTTTGTACCTGGTTTCTGGCAGAACAGCAGCTCACGCATGCTATTAGCAGATGGTGTGAGATGCACACCAAATTTGCACCCAGAACGTTTCTCCCATTCTTCCTTCCAGAACGAAGAAGTGAACATTCAAGCTAAAAGCATGCACTGACTGCAGCCCTGCAGCCCAGGCTCGAGTACAAACCTCTGAAACATTTCAGTCTCTGCCACAGTTAACTACTCAGCACATACCATTTCAGTCAGAAATGCAAGGAGTGCATTTCAATAAAACCATGCTCCTTGATGCCCTTATGTCAGTTCCTTTCAGGATCAGCTGTGAACAAGCAGCACACATTACAAGACATGTCTCCCCAGTGAGCTGAGGCATCCATCTGTGGCCCATAAGTAATCACTGCAGGCTTGACAGAGCACGGCAAACTTTGCATCCACAAACAGGAGCGCATTGCTTTGAGTTTCAGAAAAATAAATGGCTGGGATGGCATGATCCAGGAGCCTGGGTTTGTGCTCAGCTCCAGGAGGAGGCACTGGCCTGATGAATCCCACTGCACCCCTATTTGTGCTGCTGTGAGCTGAGAATGAACGGGTCTGCTCCATTGCTGTAGCCATACACCTGAGTGCTTTCCTGAACAACCCTTCGCTTTTGATCTGAATGTCTCACCTAGTACACAAATGGCTTTACCGAAACCTCCCTATTTGCAGTTCTTTTACATCAAACATATTATGATTTCATTCATCTCCATGCAGGGAGGTGTGTCTCGTCCTGCGCTGCTCCAGAGCCGGAAGGAAAACAGACGCTCAAAGAAGAGCGCTCTCACAGCACCTCAGCGCTCCGCTTACGTGAGCACGTTCCTATGTTCCCATGTTTCTATGTTCCTATGTGCTGCACCGTCCCGAAGCACGATCTTACTCCAACTCCACGAACCCGTGCAGAAAAGCAGCACATCCAAAATTACGAGGGATCGCGAGTCAAGCACTAGGGATCCAAATCCGAAGCGCTGTCGCTGTGCCACGTGCCGGCGGGGCCCGGCCCGGAGTCACGGAGCAGCGCCCGCCCGCACCGCGATCACCGCTGCCGCCTACAGGAGACGCGGCCGCCTGCACGCACAGCTCGCAACGCGCCGCGGAGCGCGAGAAAGGTTCGAAATCCAGCTCCCCAGCTTTAAGCAGACTGCAGTCTCTCCTGACCTCACGCAGCAGAAGGGCCCGTCCCTGCTTTCGCCTGTAGTGTCGCTGCAGCTCGGGGCAGAGGGGCGGCGGAGCAAAAGCGCTTTGTGCCTCTGCCAACGCGGAGCTACTGAAGTCACGCTTTCACGTGTGCCCGGTTATGCCTTCCACTGAAAAAAGAAGGAAAAAAAAAAAAGGAGTTCATCATAGAGGCACTTTTGCGTCTACTATGGAATTTATTTCCTTAAAAATTATTTTCCCTGAAGCCTCGTAGAGATTACAGCCCCAGATAACTCACATTGTTCTGGTGCCGTGCAGTGGAAAGAGCTGAAATGGCAGCAGAAGGGGCACAGCCAGGCCCTGCAGCAAGCTCTGGTAATGGAACAACCGAACAACCTCCTGCACACAGGGACAGCAAGAGCAGAAGGAAAATAAAGTTGAAAGGGGAATGCAGTAAGGTGGCATTTCTGTTATATTTTTACCACATTAAAAAAATAAAATCTTCATGTGGTTAAAAAAAAGCTAAATGCAATGTATTCTGTAATTCCTATCTAATTTTGTGAAACAGCTTGTCACAAAGGCTACTGGTGCCTCAGCTCTTTGCTCTGTAACTTTCTTCTGAAGTTCAAAGCCAACAAGCTACTTCAGATTGGTACATTTGCATGCCCTTTCCTTTCTTTGATGCAAATGCAACATGTAAAATTCCCCAGTACTTTTCTCATTCCTTCCTAAAGTTTATCTTCTCAGTTGCCCTCCTCGGTACAATCAGACCCTTTTTCACACTTGGGTAAACCTCGAAAACCATTCAGAGTGGAAACCACATGAACCAGTTCAGCAAACAGCAGGCAGCTGTGCCTCAGAGGCCTTTCCGAAGGTCAAACATTTCTACGTAATTTGTCCAGCTACTTTAGTTGTTAAACAGAAGCCCACTGAGGCTGAGGAAATAAAATGACATGGCTTTCTAGATGTGTCTGATTAGCTTGCCCCATACTCCTGCATGATTTCCCTCAGTTTGGCTGTCCTTTACACTGCGTATGTCAGGACTCCAGTCAACTTCATCTTTGTTTTCACGTTATTTTCTTGTTGGCAGGTTGTGCTGTATGTAATCTTTCAAAGATTCCCATCTTCCCTATTAAATTGAATATGCCTATGTGCCAGCAGCTGGGCTCCTGCCTCTTGAGAGAGCCCAGGCTGAGGGTGAGAACACCTGGCCCCATGGCAGCGCTCTGGGGCTGAGTCACAGGCTGCCACCTCTAGAAGTCACCTGCTTCTACAAAATTCATGTAGCTCCCCGCTGCCCAGAGAATGGAAGAGACATTCAAACACATATTCAAGAGGTTCTTGTACTTCTCAGTCCAAAAGCCTTTCCCCACAACAATTAGTGGACGTGGCTGCGGGTTGCGTTCCAGTTACTCTTCCTTTCTTTGTGTGCAGTACAGACTCCAATCAGAGAACAGCACACTTGGAATGGAAAGCCATGTTATTGGCTTTAAAACTGCAGCACAAAAAACAAACGGGGATAAGATTTGTAGCAGTTTTGCCTAGAGTTTCAATGCTGGTTTATTTAAGATTGTGAAGGTACATTTCAAAAAGCAAGCAGAGGCCTTGTGGACATCAGATCCTAACAAATCCTAACAGCAGTGCTGGCCAGGCTGAGAGCAGAGAACTGATTGCTGCTGCCCTCCATTCCCATCACCCCAGCCTTGCCCTGCCACAGTCAGTGGGACCATGTCCTGCCAGGAGAGCATCTCACTGCAGGAAAGGCTGCCCAGCTCTATGCTGTGCCCGGCTCTGTGCCCAACTATAAGCCCAGATCTGTGCTGTGCCCAGCTATAACCCAGCTCTGTGCCCAGTACTGTGCTGTGGTTGGACGTGAGGAGAGCTAGGCGTTCACAGTGAGAAAAGGGAATGGAATATGGCTCAGCTGGAGTGTTTCAGCATTTAGATGCTTCCCCTTTCTTTTTCCTAGAATGTTTTGGCTGACACTTTGTGCTGCTAAGGCTAATGCATTAGGGCTCATCATCCTCAGGGCATTTCTATTAACAAGAGCAAGGCAAAGTGAATACAGAAGGCTGACCATATTCTTTGTTGTTTGTGCTGAGCTCATCTATTTTGCCAACACATCCTCCCATCTTCTTGGGCTGACACGAGGCCAGGAGGAGGCTGCTGTCCCAAGGGGCCAGAGGCACAATGAGGGCACAGCAGCTCACTGCTACAGTGCTGGGGGGCCATAAAGGCAGGGGTGTGTGGCTCCTGGTCCCATCTCAACCCTCCTGCAGGACTCCTGCTGTGCCTGCTTGGCTTCCAGCAGCCAGACTGGATGAGGGCACAGAGCAGAAGCCGTGGCCTGATGCAACCCAGCGTGTTCTGCTTGCTCACAGCCCATCCTCAAAGCATTACCTGGGACACAGAGACATTTGCTTCTCTTCCCCTCACTCATGGAAAGCTGGATGCTGGCCCCACTCTGGCTGCTTCCTGAGGAGCAGTGAAACCCAGCAGCTTTTAGGTGTGGAGCTGGGAATGCTGGTGCTCAGTGCAGTGCACAGGGTGCATCACCATCATCAGCACACTCATTTAATACAGCAACTTGAATAAATCTGCTTCTGCACTTTGTACAGGCAACTGCAGTTCCAGCGTCCCCTCAGGGCACAGTGTTCCCCAGAGAAGGGCCCAGGGACAAAGAGCATCTTTTGAAGGCTCTCATTACACCTGTGCCACATTTATCATATCTGATAAGCTTACCAGTGAAATTCCAAAAGAGATGTTTATCTCAGAGAAATAACTTTGGCTGAAGTTACTTTGGTACAAACTTGCTACAATTCCTGTCTGTAAGTGGAGAACTACTTAAGTGCTACCCTTGAGGAAAAAACTGGTGTAATGTTTCCCATCTGTCTGATTTTGTCTCTATGAAGACCACTTTGTGTACCAGCTCTGCCCTGATATTGTTACTGAGGGTTTGATTTCAGTACGCAGTCATAGTTCTATTTTCCAAGGTACAGTTCCACAAGCATTTCTCTTTGGAATCAGCAAAACGCCATTTTCTTTCCCTCCTGAAAAGGTACAGAAGGCATTTGTTGGGTTCCATTTGGGTTTGCCATTCACACGTGAAAGGGCAAAAGAGAGGAAAACTCCATGGCAGTGCAGGTAAGTTTCTATACTTTCCCACAGACACGCATGAGATCATCAGGCCAAGCTTACTGTGTCTTAGAACTCCACGTGCTGCTCATTCCAGCTCAGGATCTCAGGCTGACTACAGCACAGAGGAAAACAGCTGTGGGCAACAGGAAGGACTTATACTGTATTGTACAGTGGCTCATATGTTAAAAATGCAGTCAGTGCTTCCCACTGAAGCCAGCAGCACCACCAGATTGAGGCTTTGTTCTGTATTTCACACCAAGTTCAGTTTGCTGGGACAGACACAACGGCTGCCAGCCAGACCCATGGGCAAGGTTCAAGGACTGCAAAGGGTACAAGGGTGGGCCACCAGCGTGTGTAATATTTTACATAACTCGAAGTGAGCAGTGAAATAAAACAGATTTATTTCAATGGGGAATATCTGTATTTCAAACATTCAATACCTATATCCTGAGCCAGGAGGGTTGCTTTCTCCTCCAGAACGGGCTGCTTCTGGAGACAGAGCCACTCACTGCTGTCACCACAAACACCTGAGGCAGCAAACAGCAGCTAACCTGTGCACTGTCTTTGTGCTAATGACCAAGCCATGATAACCACATCCCTAGCAAACTTCCCATTTAGTTTAATTAACTCCAAGCTGATCACAGCAGTCAGAGTGAGCCAAAGCCCCACATTCTGACATCAAGGAGAGGGCGTTCAGCACAGCTGCAGCATTCTGCTCAGCTGCACCTCCCAGCACCCTCAACAGGCTCAGACAGCTACACCTGAAGCCCCTTGATGGGCCCCATGATGCTCCCCCTGCCATGGCGGCCACAAAACCTTCCTATGTTGGAGCTCAGCCCTCCTGCACACCAGACGCAGCCCCTGCCCAGCCCTGTCCGCCACGGCTCCATCCTGCCATGGCCTGGGTGCAAGTCTTCTCTTGGAGAGTTTTAGGGCAGAAAGCTGGTTTCCACACAGTGTAGAAAATTATCTTATTTATCTTAATGCTAAGATAATGAAAGTGACTTATTTCATAATGTTATTATTAGCCTGAAATGCTGTTAAGCATTGGTTTGAGCAGATGCTGCACCGCAACCCCTCACTAGTGTGCGGTGTAGGAGCTGCAGAGCTTCCAGGGGGTTGTGTTTCCCCTAATGCAATGCAGATGTGTTGGTCACCACGCTGCTGCCCTCTCCCTGAGAACACTGACACAGATTCATATTCTGAAGCACCAACCAAAAGGTGCAGCTCCCAGGGAAAAGGCTTAAACTGAAAACTGATTGTGAAGGCAGTTCAAGGAACAAACTGACTGCTGTAGATTCCAGAACTACTGAAACATTTCAACTGAACAATAGAGACATTCCTGAGTCCTATTTGGACTTTTCATCCCACAAAACAAAAACAAAACAAACAAAAAAACCCACAAACAAACAAAAAAAAAAACACCAACCACCAAAACAACAACAACACAACATGGTTTTTGAGATAAAACAAATACGAACTTTATCAATTCCTCATCAGGCAACTACTCTGTTTCACTCGGCTCTGATTTCATTTTAAAGTAATCTCTTTAGAACACAACTAACAGAAATTAATCAGTGTCTGTTCAGTGGTTAGAGAACAGAGGGTCACAGTGCAGCCTCTGCTCCCCAGGCTAACAGAACATCTGATTCCACTGACACTATCAGCTGCTTTTTCAAACAACTGTGAAGAAGGGAAGGAAACCCAACACCACCCTGCTGGCATTTGTGCAGATGTGGCTCCTCAGTGTGATCACTCAGTGCAGGAGAACTGGAAGAAGTTGAGGCCCAGTCTGAGGAAATACACAAATACAGGAATACCAATGCAGACCTTTGCGAACCTTTGCAAACTCTCCAATAAAGCTCTTAGGGGCACTGAGCCAGTGGGTTGGCTGCTGGGGCTTTAGTGGCTGCAGCTGTTTGAGCAGAGAATGCATGAGTTGCATAAGGACATCTGTTATGAACATCTATACTGAAGAAAGGAACCTAGCAGTCCTGTGGATTTCAATAATGAAAGAAAATTCATTGGCATTCCTGCAGAGTGAAAGGTAACTTCTTAGCACCCTTCTGGCACAAAGTCATAGATGCAGAAATGAAGGAAAAGAGCTGCTTACCTTTAGAAAGCCTCAGTAGGCAGGGATCTCCAGCAAGAAATGACCTCACCTCCACTGCCAACACTTAAATGAGGCTTGGGAAGGGGTGATCCTTGCTCCACCCCTTCCAGTCTCTCATGGGGAGCCCAGCTCCCCTGGGCTGACCCTG